GGTCAGCTCTGCCTACAACGACCTGCACATTCTGCATCTGGTCACCATGGCTCACATGCTGCAGATCCTCCTGACTTCTACAGGTACAAACAGCAAAAACCTCAACTATACATTCTAGTGTAACAATACTATGGATATCTACCATTTACTGAATTACAGAATGATGTATAATGACAATAACAAGGGCCAAATGATGATTAAATAATGGTGTCAATTCTTCACAGATTTCCCTGCAGTAGCGGGTGGAGAGGAGACGGAGGAGGCGAGAGCAGCAGTAGAGCTGTGCGCTACAGTGTCACAGCACACTGGAAGGTACAAGTGTTCTTCATCATCCTATTATTTATCAGGCAACAGCCATTGCAAGCTAAAACAAGCAAGTTAGGGAGTAGATTTCCTGGCTTTGTTATTGTTTGCGTACATGTGCAGTTCTTCAAAACTCACAAACACAATATTAACTCCGCTAAAACATGTTCTGATGCCTTACTTGTGGAATTTAAACAACAATACGAATGTAAGTCAAAATTATTGCCTCCTAAGTTGTGTTTGGATATATAAATATATTCAAAGAATTTATCTTTACTATGAAAGGCCTGAGTGAAAGTGAGGAAAAAATAAATCGCAGCTTTTAAAATAGATTTCTGAGGGCTGTCCTTCTGGGGTTAAAGCCACACATCTTTTTGTCAGCAAACTTACTACATGCCAACGTTTACCTACAAAAATTCACCACCCATCTTCCTCCATGAACACATACTGCAGACCTTTTCACTGAGTGTTGGCAAACTTTGATATAGCAGACAGAGCTGGGCATAATTTTTTTATTAGCCTGCTTCATAATCAAACTTGACAGGAGCCAACCTCGCCTGTTTGTAATGGAAACAAATGCCCTTGCAGTAGAGGCAAACATTGCTCATTGTTACCTGTTGTCAAGGCTCTTTCCACCCTGCATGCTCAGAGATATATAATGTAGAGCATTCTTCAGCTTGTTTGACAGGTTGTTCTGTGGTTTGCTCATCAGGTTGATTCCAGATGTGTCTGGCAGCTCTGTGGCAGAAAGAGTGAAGAGAGGACTTGAACCTTTCCTGCGCTGTGCTGCTCTCTTTTTCAATTGCCTTACAGGAGTACATCCTCCAGAGGAGCTCTTTAGTACTTCTGGTAGGTCAAACTGAATCGAACAAACTACCGCACTGCATGTAATGTTTAATTTTGTGATGCATGTGATGACATTCTGGGTCTTTGCAGTTACCTCTCAAGGACAGATGGAGGCACTGTGCAGCTACTTGTCTCTACCCTCCAATGTGTTCCAGCTCTTCCAGGAGCACAGAGACCCTATTACTCCACTGCTGCAGAGGTAGGTGACCAACATTGAGGCAAGGTCAATACATTTCATCACAGATCTTTTTTGTATTCAATGGAGCAGTGAGCAGTTCAATGACCATGTTTTTTTTTTCCTTAGGTGGTGTGGGAGCCCAGCTGTAACCAAAGCCCTGAAAGGCAACATCCAGACAGTCAGGTATTTGGCCTTTATATTTCTTCAGTCCCGTTTTTATTTTGTAATGAAACATCTCCTAATAATTTATTGATAAACCTTCTCCAGATACCCCAGGAAAAGGAATCGTTTGATTGATCTTCCTGAGGATTACAGTGCTCTCCTCAATCAAGCCAGCCATTTTCAGTTAGTGGGCAATTAAAGTCCTTTCAATCACCACCTTTTAGTCAAAAATATGCTAGAGATATTCAACCCACTTGTCTCCTCTGTTGTCCTCAGGTGTCCTAAGTCCACAGATGACGAGAGGAAGCATCCAACCCTGTGCTTGTTTTGTGGGGCCATGCTGTGCTCTCAGAGCTCCTGCTGTCTCAGCCAGCTGGATGGGGAAGATGTGGGAGCTTGCACCGCCCACGCTGCAACTTGCGGTGCTGGAGTGGGCATGTTCCTCAGGTGAGTCAATTCTAGGTCTCAGAGGACCAAGATAATTATATATATATTTTTTAACTTTGGATGGTATTTTCTTACATGAAATGTCCTAATATAAATTAAGTTTGATTTTATGTTGACAGGATAAGAGAGTGTGAAATTGTACTGATGGCCAGTAGGACTCGAGGAAGCACATACCCTGCTCCTTACCTGGACGATTATGGGGAGACTGATCCTCACCTTGGGTAAGAATCATTGCTTCTGTGCCGTGTGCTGAATTGTTATTATCTCTTAGAATTGCAAATGACAGACATGTCGGTATTGCCTCCCGACAGGCAAAAAGTAATTGCTGCAATTTAAACACCTCCGCAGCTGCAGTTTTATATAGAACTGCAGGTCAGTTTGTGTTGCAAATACCTGAGTAGTCTTGCAAAACCAGACAGATCTCAGCACCTACAAATCGTCTGGGGATTTTTAAATGCAAAGTGGTTGCTTGAACGTTTGTGAGAACGGCAGCAAACAAATGTACACCCCTTACTTCAAGGACCTGGGTCAATGCTCTCCCCCCATTCTCCTCTGTAGTAAAACAACCTGGAGATATAGTGAATCACTTTGTAACTCGGAGAGAGCTTTTTAAAACATAGAAGGACATCAGCATGTCACAGCCCTAAACACTTCGGATCAGTTCTGCAGAGTATTGTTTCCACCCAGTTTTACTAATGAAAGCTGGGAGAATACAGAAGAAGAAGAATGCACAAGTCATGCTGTCATGTTTTGCAAAAGTCTTCCATTATTGTGAAGAGTTTAATGTCATCCAACAATGTCCAACGCTGACTTACTCAGCGGCAATGATCTGAACAGCATAGAGCCATGACCATAGTGTAGATCAGTTTTGTCATATTAAAAGTGTTGTGTGTAAAACCCCTGAATAAATCTCGCCTTCTGTCTTTTTAATTTGTAGAAGGGGCAATCCATTGCACCTCTGCCCAGAGCGCTACAGGAAGCTGAACCAGCTGTGGCAGCAACACTGCATCCTGGAAGAAATCGCCCGAAGCCTGGAGGTGGTCAACGTTATGTTTGCCTTTGAGTGGCAGATGTTGTGATGATTGCTCCAGCTGTGGTGGTTGGGAAGTAAAGAGCACAGCCATAGAGCACAGTCTGCTCCCGTGCTCCTGAGGCACACACTCGCATATATATATATATATATATATATATATATATATATACACACACACGCATACACAAACAACTCTCCTACAATCAAAGGAGGCCGGAGCAGCCAATCCCTCCCCGATGAGACCCCTGCTGCAGTCTAGACAAGTGGGACATTCAAAAGAGGAAGAGGAGGAAAAATAGTGGAGAGTGATGGATAATGAGTAAACCCAAGTCGCCTTGTTTTAATTTGATTGTCTGCTGTGAGAATGAGTTTCTCCTAGAGTAATGTTATTTGCAAAGAGGCTCATTCAAATAAAGACAAACATCCGATACACACAACATGTTTCTGTTATCAGTTTATGTATTTGAGTTCTCTCCTCAGTGATGCTGTGGATTGTCTGCATTCTCCTTTTTGTGTTAGAAATTCAGATGTATGTAATAGATAAAACATTTATAGAATATACATTAATTTCAAAGTTGTTTTACAAAAGATTCACTATTCTGAGACACAGTAAGCAAACATCTCTACAATTCTACATGATATGCCTTTTTAAAAAACCCTATTAAAAACTTAAGATCATCAGACATTCACATTAAAACTTACTGTTGAAGGGACCATTGCTAGACAGATTCGTGGTCACATTTTACCATATGATGCTGATTCACTTTACACAAATTGAATGAAAAGTAAAAACAAATATTTCAATATTGTATTTAAGTAAGGAATGTACTTTTTATTGAAATATAATCTAAGGTATATGGGGTATCTTTTTAGTTACTCCATTCATTATTGCTCAGCCTTTGTAGGAAAAATGTGTGAATATAAAATTAATTTTTTTTTTTGTGCTGTTTGACAGTACTACATGACTTCCAGGCTGTGGAAATAAAGACACTAGCCTCTATACAAAACTTTTCTGTGCCCTGAATCAGTCTGAGTACACAAGTGTCACAATTTCTAATATTCATTTGTTTTATAATAATGGAACAACATCTCATAGAATAAATCGATGATCTGTTTTCCATCATCAGTGTTGTTTTGTCCAAGTGAGAGCCCCAGATGAGGGAAAAATAGGCAACATTCCCCTATTTCACAATATCTCATAGCCGAAAAAACTTAAGTTTGTTTTCTTCCCAAATGTTTAAGTTCTTATTCGCCTTCTCAGCTGCCATGTGATCTATCATTTTTGAAAAGAAAGGCAGAGAAAGCAGAGTTCCTTTGACTACCAGCCAATATACTTTACCCTTAAAAACAAAGTAAGACATAGTAGCTTAGTTTGCTATGTACTGGTTTGCAGCCCTCATGAAACAATCACAAACAGTAAAACGCAGACATCACCAGCTCAGAAGCTTTATTGTCAAGTGTTTGGTAGCTCATCCCAGCGAAAATGACTGAGGTGTTTTCATAAGACCATGGTGGCATTGCTGAGGCACGTGAGATCCATTGTATTGACAGCTCAAATGTTCTAGAAAATGTATTATAATATGTTCTTAATTAGATTTCTGTCTGGCCATGTGCTTTTAACTAATGTGAAAGCAAGAACACACTGTATTTATCCCATTGTTTACTACCTTTGGTACCAGTTTGTTTGCTAAAGTAATTAAAATGCACAGAAGGGATCTAAAAACCCAGATAAGAGATCTGCTTTTCCGGGTCTTAGACTGCAAGACCTATTTAACTCAATGCCAAATCACCCCACACCACTATTCTTATTGCTAAGTTCATTCTAAACTCTTTTGAGTGCATTTTATTTTATACTTTGAGGCAAAGTCAGGCAAATTAATTGTGGACTTTAACCTCTGACCCCTATCACAAATTTTGTTTTCATGAAACAATAATATATTTCAAGTTCATTTTGACTCCAGTGTTGCAACTGACAGGTGCACGAAAATGTTTTAGACACCTGTTGCAAAACCACGATACACAGGCAACAAGTATATACTTTGTAAACAACAGATTACAGTACAGATGTACAGTAAAATATGTACATTTGTGGTGATGTATGATTTATGGGTTGCTGTTTGCATCAATGAAAATGGAACATGTATGGATTTGGATTCTTATGGATTAAAACTAATAAATGTAACTGTTAAAACTGTTAAAAGTAGTTTGTATGAAGGCCCTTACTCAGGCTTTCAGTGAAGCTGTTCACTGAGGCCGGTGAAAGGTCAACTGGCTTCAGGTGTTTGCTTTGGGGGCACATTGTCTGGCCCATAGTGTGCTTTAGAGGTGGTTGGAACATTGATGTTGGGGTCTCCATTGTTGGCTGTGTCTATCTGGTTGCACTTGCCAAGGCTTTTGATGATGTTGAGGTTGATGCGGGCTGTTTCCATAAAGCTGTTTTCCAGCAGCCAGCCGTCGGATTCAGAGTTTGGGTCTCCTTGCCTCAGAACATTTTCCAGGGAGGTCTGAAGGAAACGAACTCCTGTCAACACTGAGAGCTGAAACAAGACACACAGACGCATATCAGTGACAATATCACATACAGTGTGAACAGAAATGATACAAGAGGTCAAAGAAGTTGAGTTTTGTTTGCTTCCTCTGATACTGATATGCAACTGAGTAGAGGACAATAATCGAGTCCACTTGAAGGGCTGCATGGATGACCTAGAGATAATACGACAGTAGAGATTTACTCTAGGATTAGTACTGCAAGTGTATGAACTGAATGTAAGATAACAGTGCTAATGCAAAAGCTGAAGTGACACCAATCATGTCTATAAATCTTGGATGAATGGAAAGAAAAGAAAACCAACAACAGTGGTTTCTTAATACTTTTGATGTGATTTAACTATGTGATAAGACTATGTCTGATAATTTAAACTGTTTTAAGATAAACAAGAACAAGAGTTTAAACAGCAATTGTTACAGTGGTAGCAGCAACACAAATACAGCTCTTTTTTTTGCTAAAGCAGTCTCTTTAAAGGATTATTCCACTGGTTTAGAATTGCACTCCTATAACATTGCCAGACTCAAGTTAGTGGTTCAAATCGATGCAGCAGAACCAGAGATGTTTTTATGCCATGCTTTCCTCTTCCTCATCAAACCCTACATTACCTACAATGCAACTCAACCACATCCTTAGTGCCAACCTATCAGACTTCTGGAGCCACAAAATACTTCATACAACTTTTTTTCTCATATGCAGTAGTACTGCCCAAGACCTAAAACAAACTTTTATACAAAAGCGGAGTTCCCTTTTAACGACACCATTAAAAACCTTTTGTTGTCACCAACGTGTATCTCCTCACCTCAAACAGCCAAGTGATGAGGACTGTGAGGCCAATGGACTGCATGATGTGGGTGTAGTACTCCAGCAGTGCCTGCCGACACCCTTTCATCCACAGGTTCAGCTCCTCCGTCTGGTGGTCGTAGTTGAAGTGAGCGGAGTTGTTGGTGATCTGCTGCTGGATGCAGGGCCGGGGGGACAAGGTGTTGCAGCAGCTGAAGGGGACTCCATCCATCAAGTACTTCCCCTCCACATTACTTCTTATTCGGCTAGAAATCAAGAAAAAGAGCGATAAGCTCAGGGTCTGTCTTGATGGTTGTTGTGTGTTAAAGATTCGACCTTAGTGAGTCAAAGATTATTACAGGGCAGGGAATATGTTGTCTTCCTTTTTGCTGAAAGGAGGTAAGCCTGGATTTTACTCATCAATTTATACTTGTGTATATTTCAGTTCTTGTGGAAATTATGGTCAACAGGACAACAATTCCATCACTACTTTAGGGCTTTAGTCTACCTAACAGGACCAATATTTCACTTATGAGACACAGACTACACATGAATTTTTATGGATATTAGTGGTTATGTTTTAAATTTACCAATTCTCTCCTTCACTTGATTTTCATCATAATAGAAAGTTAAAAAAGTTAAACGCATTATTATAATTAAAGCATTTTAACCTTTTATTTTGTATCTTTGTATTCTAAAGCAGTTGTTATGGTTGCCATACATTTGGAAATGTCTATTTCTGCTTCATTGTAAAAAATATTATTCAATTATTATGTAATGGTTTAAAAATGTTGTCTCTTTTAGTTATTATGGGGTTGTAGCTTTTTCTATGTGAATAGTCATTTTTCATCTTATCTTATGATAAGTGTGTAAAAATACTAAATCAATATCCTCATTCTGTAGTTTGCACTTACTCTGACACCTCTTTTTGGGTCATATCCAGGTAGCGGCTGCTGATCCACTGAATTTGAAACCAGTCTTTATAGCCATTGTTTCCACAGCACTGGAACTCTATCTGCAGCATGTCCACAGTGCGCTTCAGGAAACATCGTCCTGGTGTGTCGGTGTCCTTATAGAACCTCATGGCGTCTGTCAGCCCCAGGTTCAGAGACTCCTCTAGCTCCCCACGCGTGCTGTAACACATCAGAGCTCCCACCAGCACGCAGAAGGTAAAGAAGAAGGTGCATATAATGTAGGGGAGCATGATCAGTTTCCAGCGCAAGAACTTGGTGCTGTCTACGCAGTCGTAGCAAATCTTCCCACCCAGGAAGTTTATGGCACAGGCGATGAGGCCCACAGCAATCAGCATGTTGGGCACGTACTGGATGTCCCTCTCAGCCATCAGCTCTTCCCGTTTGTTAATCTCTACCTTGAGGAAGAGCCCCAGGCTAAACAGGATGGCCCCTGTCACCACTGAGATCCAGTTCAGGATCCACAGCACCTGGGCTAGTTTGTCCCTCTTGGTCTTGGTGAACTTTACTCTCAAGACTGCCATTGCATATATAGCTCCTCTCTTGTCCAAGGGGGGATTAAGGGTGGGACACAGGTAGTGCACGGGAAAGGAACAGGTTATCCTCCAGGGGGTGTGGGGGACCAAGGGAAGGGGGATTGATTGTACAGTTCTTTGAAGGTCCTCTCATAAGCAGCTTAGCCTGGTACTCATGATCAATATCTTGTGGACGCTGCATTATGGTTATACTGTAGATGCAGGCTGGTCTGAGAGACAATAGTGGTGAGAGTATGAAAAGTAAATATTTCACATGACAGGTGCCATTTTTTTGGAATGGAAAACACTGTTAAGATCAAATACACTGACATGTGTTCAGTTGTATTCAAGTGTGAAACAATCTACATATGAGACAAACTGAGAAAACATCAGCAAGATATAATTTGGTTTAAAAAAATATATAATTTTATTTCAAATTCAGTGATCCTGGTATTTATGTCTGGACAAAGTTCCTAAAAATAAAATGTAAGAAATAGCTGACACAGTGAAACAGAATATAAGAAGTCCACTGAACATACCTTATCCTGGTCAGCATTTATCTTGAAGATCTGACATAATTTTCTCTCATTTTCAGTTTGTTTTCCTGCTGATGTCTTCAGAAATAGTCCTGAGAGAGGTGAGTGGTAGTCGTAGTGACACAAATAGTATGAAGGCAGCCACGGCAGCATAAGAGTGAGACTAGTAGCCAAGTCCTGACCAACCTCCTAATCCCCTTTAATCATTAATCATCCCTGGGCCCCACGAGGGATTTGGACCTACCTTCTGCCACCTACGCAAATCTGACTGTCCCTGCACTGTGAAAGTAATGGATGATGGCTATTGTGTGTGTGTTTGTCTATGTTTTGATTTGGGTCAAAAGTAAAAGTAGTTTGTAAGTGTAGAAATCCAACTGGACATTCTGAAAAGTGATATATTCTAGTTCATCTCCATTATCTACAGATAATAATGACAAATAAATATAAATGTATTCACACACAAAGAATTAAACTTTCAAGAAATAACACTTCCGCATTTGCTGCAAGTAGCTTATAAAGGGTAAATTAAAGGTAAATACACACCTACACAGTTATGGTGGAAAAAACTGCTGCTGTAATGCTTTCTACTGGATGGAACTTTTCAATAGGGCTGCAACTAATGACTGTTTTCATTAATTAAATCTGCCAATAATTATCTTGATTAATCAGTTAACAGCTTTGTTTATAAAATGACAGAAAAGTCACATCACAGCTCACTTAAAATGTTTTGTTTTGTCCGACCAATAGTCCAAAATCTATCATCTTTACTATCATGTATGACAAAATAAAGTAGGCATGTGAGAAATTCCAAAATGCCTGGGAGTGAGAACTTGTTACAGAATTTTGGGACGCAGTTTCCTGACAATGTACACCATATCTATACACCCTGCCTAACTTATACAGTTCAAGGTGGGTACAGACTCCATTGTCCAAGCCCAGAAATCCCACCATCTATCCTAAAACCAAGTCTATGATTTGTTTATGTTTTAATGGGGGAATGGCCCTAACCCTAAAAATGATATCAGTTGTCATGTCTCTTCAAAAATATTTAGTTACAGGTGTGGTTTGGTCTGACAGTGTACTTTCAGCCACACAGACACTATGATTATAGAAATATAAAGGTAGTATAGGAATACTACAGGCAGCAATGTGTTTCTATGGTCTTCTCACTCTTTAGCATGTACACGTTGCTATTTGTCACTTTGATAATGATGGTGACAGTAATCTATAGATCTATATATATAAGCACTACAGTATAGTATATAATTGAGTATTAATGTTATATAGTTTAGAGAATATTATAAATCCAAGAAAAAACTGACAAAAGGGTGGGACTGAGTGAAAAAGGCACAAATCTGTCTGCTACTTCAGCACCATAGACAGCGCCATGGATTTATCAATATACAGCACAGTTAGGCCAGTTGTTTTCAAATAGGGGTCCAGAGACCAACTGGGGTCCTTGAGTGGTTGTAGGGGGTGCCAATCAAAAGGAGGAAAACAATATTTTTACTTTTATCACACGATGATAGAAGGAATGAAATAGGGTTGGCCATTATAATTGATTCTAATTTATAGTGATCCCAGTTTAATCATTGATTCACTATGAAGACTTCATAATCTTGAAACCAAAAAGAAAAAGATCCTCTCCTAAAAATTAGGGTGCGTGGTCAATTGTAGATGTCCTTGACATTAAAAAACATGAACCCCTGAGCTAGGCTACTGATATTTCAGAGCCATGGTTTATAACTTGAAACCTCAGTCAGATAAAGGATCAATGAGTCAGGCATATGATGATGAGAGTCCCCCCCCCCAATTGCCTACAGCTAATAAACCCCATGTGACTAGTGTAAAGAAATAACAGGAACACTTATTCATCAGGTGGTTGTGTATTTACTTTGATCTTGTTTATACTCCTACCTCTTTTAACCCCTATAAGATCATCTGTCTTAATCCTCTTCTGTTATGTCTTCTTTGTACACACCGGAAGGAATAAACAGATTGGGAAAAACCCAGGCATGTGTTGCTTTGGACCACAATGAGTGATGTCATAGCAGGTGTTTTACCTTTTGGCAAATGGTGTAAAACATTGTGACATTACTGACTGTGTTGCGGCAAAAACGGCTGAAAGATTAAAGCTGCGGGGAGCAGGGAATTTTTCTTCCCTGGTCATTGAAGAAGTCCATTTCACCCCTGTTGACCTTACCTATTCTGTTTCAAACACACACGTCAATATACACTCACAGCCACGCGGCAAATCAGCCAATGAAATGTTAACTGAGAGTAAGATTAGTGGATTAACATGTACCAAAGTAGCTTGTGTAAGAAGAGAGCGTTACCGTAGCCACTGGGCCAGTCAGCAAATCCCCAAGGCAGACAGAGCACACCGAGCACCCAGCAGACAGTGCTGCACAGACCAAGAGTAAAGTTTAACAGAGCTACTCAACAACTAAACCACTTCTCCAAGTAAGTACAGAGAATCTAATGAATCTTTACAATTTTCTCAATGGACGCTCTTCAAAATATCAAACCAGATTTCCGTTTTAATCTGTTCCTGCACAATCCATTGATCTAAATATGGAAACATGTCTATGAGAGATTTTCCAGGTGTGTATTGTGAGTTTGTACTTAAGTACAGAAGTTATTTAGCCCTGAGATAGCATAAGTACATTACATTAGGCATGGTTAAAACAACTCTAGTATACAGTGGAAAATGTTTTCATCAATGATCATTTGTTTCTTTTGCTTTAACAAACCATAGGTATCAGCATTTTCTTTCAGTAATGGTCCCTTGATCCCACCACGTGAACTCTGGTCTCTGTCTGGACCCCTGGGGCTGAAGGCAATAATGCTGGATACAGAGGGCCAGTGGTCCGAGGCGTTAGCCAGCAACAACGTAAGGGCCATCATCCGCTGGCTACGGAAGCTTACAGATGAAGGTACATTCGGACCATTGGGCTACCATAAAAGCAGTCGTAGAAGTAGTAGTTCTGTAGTGTCCAGCACTTGCAAAAACACTCACTATGAATTCCCTGTTGTTTGACTCATTAATATTTTGATCTCCAATAATATTGTGCTGCAGGTGAAGTACACATGGAGGGAATCCTACTGACTTTCAGTTGCTGGGTGCAAAGGACATCAGAGTTTGCTAAAAAGGAGTTGTTAACCCTATGTAAGAACATGTTCCTTCATCAATCATGTTTAAATGTTTGAATTATAAAGCACACACTAAGGCTCTCCCACAGGTTTCAGCCGCTGCCAGGGTCTGTGGATGTTTTTGGACCGGAGCTCTTTCACCAGAGTGCACATGCTGCTCCAGAGACTGAGAAACTTGCTCACCTTGGCCCAGTGGGCAAGAAAGCAACTCAGTTCAGCCCACCTTTGGCATGGTATGCACTTATATATTATATTATTATTATTATTATTATTATTATTATTATTATTATTATTATTATTAATAATAATAATAATAATAATAATAATAATATATATTTGTGACTGCATTTGTAGTCCTAACCCTCTGACATCTCTACTTGAATTTACTTGAATTTCTATCTTTTTATTTAGGTGTGGGTGTCCCATGCGTGGTGTGCAGGGATACATTTTGCTCCTCAGACGTCAGATGTGGCTGCTGGAACCGAGAGCACAGGGCTCTAAAGCAGCACATCTGGCTGGGACGGCTGGTTCAGTGGTGGGGCATCATGGGGCTTCTGCCCAAGTCCCCTGGTACAGATACAATCACACACATTACATTATATTGATAGGAGGAAGTGTTGCGACGCCTCTAAAGGTTTTTTCTGTTCCCTGCTGTTGCTGTCAGAGGCTCAGGAAGTGAAGCGTATCTCTCAGATGTGGAAGGAAATGGGTCACAGCCATCGGAAAGCTTGTCTCGAGACACCTGGGTAACTCGAATGATTTCATTTGATGGAGAAATTCTGACCCATTGTACTTATTTTCTACCTCTAAAGTTTCCCTTTTCTTTTATTTCCTCTGCTTTTTTATTGTCTTACATTTGACTAGAAGAGAGGAGGGAGAAATGGGAAGAGTCAGGTCTTTGATACAGGGGATGGTGACTGAGCTGGACAGACAACATGGGTGCATTTGGACTTCTGAAGACCGCATAGACCCATGCTATCCTCCTCCTAATCTACAGGCCCTGCTGAAGCTTGTGCTGGTGCCTCGTATCGACAACATGTCTGTCCAAGCACTTGTATCCATCCAAATACATCAACAAAGCCCTCTGAGGGCTTATATGTGTATATAAAATATAATTAATTTCATTGTTATGTAGTTCTTAACCTTTATGTATCACAGCTCATGTACTTTGTCCTGGATATGGCGAACTTTCTGCAGTGCAAAGACGACCTCCTCAAGTCTTTCTGCCATGCCTTCACTATTCCCTCCAACTTTTCCCAACAAATAAGGGCCTTCTGGATGATTGATCATGGACACAGCAAGGTAAATAACCAAGAAGAAAAATTTATTTCATGATTCTGATTTTGATGAAGTCATTAAAATGAACATGTGCAAGATGACTGTCATGCAAGTGCGATTGAAGGGCCAGTTAACCATCCCGCTGATTACATTAGTGTCCTTGTTTCAGCAGCCATAATGGTCTGCAGGTGACACTAATGGGCCACCTGAGTAGCGCATATGATTGATGTAATAACGCTCCACTGTGCCACACATTAGTGAAATTATAATATACCTCTCTTTTAGAAGAGGGGCTGCTTTCATGGATGACAAGACATGTTCCAGTTTCTTTCTTGATAACAACAAGTAGGAGATATGTAACTGACTACGCGTCAGTCAAAAAAACCTATATATATAGCTTTATATCATGTTACATCTTACCCAGGCCTCCATGGAGCTATTACTGAGCCCCAGAGCTGCTCTTCCCTTGCTCTCCTGGCAGCATCGTTGCATCATCCACTGTCTGCTAATGAGGAAGCAGCCTCAGTTGGCGTTAAGGTACCTCCACTGGACCAGACCTGCAATAGAGAGCGTTGGGGATGCCAAGCTCTGTGCGGATGTGCTATTTCAAAACAGGTACATTCTGGCACAGTAATGGCTTACTGGTCATATTTTTAGTCATAGAATTATCAAGTCACATCTAAAATGATCAAGATTATTTAGTCACATTTGACTTATTGTTTAATTGTGTGTTGTTGACAATGTCTCTGGTCTCTAGCTGTGGTTCCGAAGCCTGGGCTCTGCTGAAGAGAGGCCACACAGAAAGCAATGACTTGGTCATGTACTTCGACCAGGTTTGTAAAGGATTTGGTCTGTGTACGGAGGTTTTTAAGTACATCCCTAAAGGGTTCAATGTAGGTGATTGTCTTATTATGCAAGAAAACATATGTACTAAAGATATTCAGCCTTGAAATGACTTTTCTCCCTAAAAATCAGGATGAAGGAAAAAGTGTAAATGGGATTGATACTACAACGATGAACAAAAGTAAGGCAGATTAAATTAATAGAATATTTAACTGTATCAGGTGAGAGTTAAGTGGATTATATTTAACCATGAGATTTCATTTTATATGACCATTGAACAGGAAGGCCACCCTGCCCACTGTCTGCCAAACTGTATCAGGTTCAGAAAGTCAACACAGTGTCCCCTGAGGAACTGGTCCAACTTGTCAGAAAGGCTGTGATGGAAGTGAGAAAACCACATCCCAAGATAAGGTACTAAGAATGCAGATGGCAAGTGGATAAAACAGAGGTTCAATTAAGTTCAAATTTGTTCAGAGATAATTTTTCTGTGTTCTTCATTCCAGTGAGGTGGTGTGGCCAGAGCACACAGAGAAAAAATCAAACAGCAGAGAGATGTTTCTGTCAACCCAGGCTCTGCGTCACCTCATGCCCAGCCCCTCCCCAATGGACATGGTAGAAGAAACTGAGCAAACAGCACACACAGATGAACCAGAAGAAGGACGGCCTATTCAAAATGTACACATTTTCATTGTCCCTGCTTAAAGATGATTTTTACAGCATGGGATTTTGAAATAATGCCCTTTGTGTGTTCGTGTCCCGGCAGCAACCTGAGTCACCAGACCACATTTCTTCTTCGGAGGATCTGAGCCCTGAGTCTGTCTCCTCCTTCACCTCAGCCTCCTCTTTGCCTCTGTTGAGACGTGAACGCCCTTATTTGTATGAAAGTACCTTGACTCTGCAGAGGATCTCTTATCTACTCACTGATGGAGAGGACCAAAGCAGGGAAGAGGAAGACGAAGAGGAAGACAGCAGAACCCCTTCATCAGTTGACCACTTCCCAGATTGCCCTGAGCTGCCAGCGACACTAGATGGCGCCACAGAACCCATTTTCCTCAGCAACCTGAACAAAGACACTTTGGTAGAGCTGATGCTGTCTGCAGAGGGTAAGCTTTGTGTTAGATTTTATTTGCACACCATGCACGTTAAGAGGCAGTCGAAAGATAAAGAGAAACTTCAACTCTTTTCTAGATGGAGAAGAAGATCTTAACACAGATGTTTTCTCAAGTGAGGACTTTCTCAGTGTTGATCCAGTTTCAGGAGCTACCATGAACAAAACCCTTTCTGTAAATAAGAGGTCAGAGGTCAACTTATCTCTCACTATAATTGTGATGTATTTGTTTATTTGTTAGGATCCCCATTAGCTGTACCCTGAATCACAGCTAGTCTTCAAAACAAACCAACATGTTAAAAAAAATCATACATTAAACATTACAGTCAACCCAAATGACAAACGTAAGAGCATATTACATATTTGATTTTATTAAAACATACTTATGGTGCACTGACCACCGGCAAGTAAATAAAATGATATGTGTTTCTTATGGTTCTGTTTCAGAATGAATCTTCCTCAGTTGCTCTACAGCAATGACGACAGCCAATCAGTGCTGTATCTCTTTGAACCCCAGGTGGAGAGTCAAAGCTTCTTCTCACCTGACACTGGTATGTAGGTGTATCCAGTGAGAGAAATTCTCAAGCTCAGTTGTGGTCCACTGCAGTTCACATATCTGCATACCTGCTGTGAAGGCGTGTCTGAAGAAATTGTTCATGTTCCCCCAGATGTCACTGATATGTGGAGCTCTGCAGTGTCACTCGACCAGAAAGAAAAATCTGATTGCATCCCTTATGAGACTTTCAGTTTTAGTGAAGCAGTCACATCTGACTGTTTCCTGGTGGAAGAACATCATCAGGTATGTGCCCTCTTTAACTAAACAGCACATACTGTAAGATGATTATCACTGTCTTTTCCAATATGTGCCCAGAAAACATATGAGCATCACCACCAAGCCATGTCTGACACTCCTCAGGAGCTGCTGACTGCCCCTAACCAGAACCTTCAGTCAGAGGATCCTGTAGCCACTGACACAGCAGGGATGGGTCAGCGGGACATCTCATTCCTCACCCCCGGGTGCAGCTCTATCTGCCCTGAACAGCAGATCTCTGGTCACTCTCTGACCCCCATCCCAACCTGCAACATTAAAACCACCTTTGCTCCTTTTGAAACCTCCAATGAGAGCCCCCTCAAAACCCAATTAAAGAAGGATGAACCTTGTGTCCAGAGCACCACAGCCTGGCTGGATCATAGCAAAGGGGTCAACTGGTGTAAACAGGACCTGGAAACCCGTAGAGCTGCCATTGGCCATCTACCTACTACAGAACCCGGAGCAGCTATCACACCAGGTGAAGAATTTTATATTTTACAAGATTTTTTTATCTTTGCAAATAAACAATGCTTCACATATAAAACCATATATAAATCTATGTAACCATATGGTGTACAGTGGTCAGTAGAGATACTACAATATGTGCTACCAGTTGCTTTAGAACAAAACATTGCAAATGGTCATTAACAATATGCTAATTAAAAAACATTTATGTCATTATTATGCATGTATGTGTGTTTTGGGCAAACATAATTGTATGTCAGAGGTGTAGCAGTCCACTGCAGGGTGCAGGACACACGTACATGTAGCAAAGGTGGGGGGTCTTGGCTGCTAGGAGAAGGAGACTGGTGAGGAAGTGAAGTGTCAGAGATTGGTTCCCTTAACCTTGGTGCAGCAGTCAGTCATCCATAAAACAACCCCCTCTCCCTCCCTCCCTCACTGCCACACGCTTTCACTGGGGGGGTTCTCTTTCTACCACAGCCCTCCCTCCATCTGTTGTGTTGTGCTGATCACCGCTGGGCCTCAGGGATCTACCGCCTATTGCCCCATGCTGATGCCCCAACCTTGTCACTGTGACAAGGGTTAAAGACATAACTGGAGCAAAGTTGCATAAAACTAAAAGAATAGTGTCAAAGTTTTCCCACACATCAATTTTGTGTGACATTTCCAGCAATGGATTATTACAACTCATGAAATTCCAGTATTCTGATAGTAATTGATGATGAAAATTCTGACAATGTTTGTTTGTGTTTCGTTTCTGTTCATTCGCAGATTACAAGAAGCCTTCACTTGTACTGAGCCAACCATATTCCTACAGTCTGGTCAACTTTATGGACTTCACTGCAAAGCAAAAAGGAGACAACAGAGGTGGCAAACAGGTACATTGATGCTGGGGTGCATTTATCATCAGGAAATAACAGTAGGGGTCACTATTGTTCCAGTTAAGAGGCTTGACAGATTCTCCGATTTGGATGATCTCATTTCTGGTCCCTGAGGATTTTGCTTCATCACAACCCAGCAGGTGCCCTCTTTACTACCCTTCATCCCCCTTTCTTCTGTCCTCCAGCATAAACACTATTGCTTTTAAGATATCTGCCTACAATGATGTCATTTTCCAAATATGAAGGCAGTGTTTCAGGGGATGTGAATCACTTGCATTGTATCTTGAAGTACAGAGTCAAATGTGCATGAAATACCACACCATGTAGCTATTATATATTTGTCAAAAATACAGTATTGACACTGATGTAATCCCCTGTTTTATATTACATAATTTTACTGTTTTCTTTTGCACTGACTTTATACTGCTAAGCACTGTAATATTGTTGCACGGATATGACAGGGTAATTGTTTTACTGAGATTTCATTGGATAATTGTTTAATTGGGACGCGGTCAGCTAATTATTTTGTTCAGAATTGGGGACCATATGGAGCCTGGCAGGTGAAACATAATTAGACCATGTTAATTTATGATGATTATACCTTGGGCCTGAGCAGCCTATACTGTACACACAGTGTGTGTCTATCATGGCCAATCTATTTTGCTTGTACTTTGCATGCTTTTAGTGAGTGCATTACATTCATTAACTTGTAGTCTCAGTGTGAGTGTGTGCTTCCAGAGGGTTGATTTGCTGTTAGTGTTATCTAATTGTTACTCCAGGCCAGAAACGATATTGCGTAGGATTTGCTTAAAGGAGAAATATTAGTGAATAACGTGTGAACATTTATTTAAGAAAAACCCTTAATGGCTGATCTATTTAATGCCAGAATGGCGAAAGATAAGAAAACCAGGATATTAAACATTGTTATTAGTGCAAGCTATACATTTTGATCTCGTCCCATATGACCTCATGCAAGACCGTTTATGATGGTTATTGTGGCACAGTTAGAAATTAGATATTCAACGTGTTGAAAACAAAATCATCTTTCAAATTGTAGAAGCTCACAAAGAGATCATGACCGCTAAAAAAGATATTGCAAAATGAAATATTATCGACTTTGCTGTCTTTATGAAAATGCCAATATTTAGAGAGAGAGAGAGGCGGGGATTGGTAGTGTTGGGTGATGTTGCATGTTGAAACATTCAGGATTCAAGGGGAGATGAATGGCCTCTATTAGGAGCATTTAATCAGTGCTCCCAGTCCCCCGCGCCCCCTGGGGAAAGATTAATGGGTACAGGATATTTCATCAGTCCCTCCACATCACTGCCCAGGATATGAGGTTGTAATTGTGTCTGTTTTTGCTGTTGTTTTGTGTTACAGGCAGACAATGAGGAGCCCGCAGGTTGGAGTAGTTTGGGGAGGGGTTCACAAGGTGCCATAAGAAGTGGGAGAGCACGATTAAGGAAAGGAAAACGAGTGAAGAGAGCCTGAGGATTTAGTACATCTATGAAGCACAGGAATGCGAGTGGAGGACTGAACTAAATGAGAAATATATTCTCTAAATCTTTGAACATGATGTATCTTTCTTTTGATGCAGAAATACATTTTGAATCCAAATCTGTATATTTGATCTATTAACTCAAGGCAATACCATAAGGATGAACTCACACCTGATTATACAGTAGGCTTGATGATCGCCACATAGACTTTTCACCTTGACATGATCTCCCCCTTCTCATCAATCAACTGGTCAGATTGTTCTGATGCTTGCCACTGCTGCTGCTATCAGCAGCCTTTCCCACCCAGTGATATTGTCCTGCCACACCCTTTTTCTTCCACTGTAATACCACGTGTCAGAAACACTCACTCAATAATGAATTTCTCAGGAATTATTGATAGACATAAATTATTGAATATTTTGCTAATTAAAACTCCAGTTAAAAAAAAAATGTATTGTGTATTTTTATTATCTGGTCAACATTACAAGGATGTGTGTAAGACCACTTGAAGCATCAATGCACTACATTTAAAATGCAGTGATGGTGTCCTTGAATATTATTCTGCACTTAAGATTCTTCACTGTTTTTTTTCCTCTTGAAAAAAGGATGTTTGCTTTGCTGCCATTGCATCTCATGAAAAATGGATGACCTCCTAGTGCTTTCTGCTGCCCATAGCTCCCCATATTTGCACAGAGCCCAGGGACTGCATTTGGGTTAGCATCCTCCTCCCTCCCTGCCTCCCTCTGTCCCTCCGTGGCTTGTTCTGGGGGTGAATAACTTAACACATATTTCAGCTTGACACACTTCTGCTCTGGGTCTCCCCTGGGTGTCCAGTTCACGAGCCCACACATGCTGTATTATTTAAAAGTGTGGTTTGGAGTTTTGTGCGTGTGTGTGGATGTGCATGTAATCTCCCATGTTTGTAAGGGGGGATGTCATGGAGTTATTAGGACTTTCCCTATGACCTTGCAGGTGTGGCAACACATATGATACCAAATAATGTCTGTTTTTCTGTTGTGTGCTTTGATTTTTCTATTAGACAAATTGAGAAAATGCTGTTTAACCAGCAGTATCACAATATCATAACAGAAAGGTTTAAACTACAAAGAGATTTATTACAGAAAATACTAATCTGGACAATTTATCATACACCCAAGAATAATGATCTGCCCACTCCAAAAAAAGCCCAAGGAGAACGAAACATAAGTAATGATATCTAATGATCCTAAAAAGCAAACCAGCTCCAAACGTTGGAATGAAATCAACTTTCAGGCCAAGACCACATACGCACATAAGCACACACACCCAATAACTCAAGCTAATCTGAGAGCTGATAACATCATGAAAATCAGAGTGCTGTGCTGCTGCAAAATGACACATAAATCATGTGCAAGGGTGAAGATGCAAAATGCTGCAGTTTGTATGATGGATACAAATAGCCGTCTAATATCTAGAAAGCTCTCATATAAATACTTGTCTTTGTGTTGCATGGGGTGTTTTGCAGGAAACTGCAGTACAAAATAATATTTTTCTAACACAAAATGACTCAATGCTAGCCTCTAAACAAGCTGGTCACTTTGCTGTTTAACATTTTCCACCTAAAGTTGAAGGTTTTTACATTTTCTAATCACAATCAAAGCATGATTTACAATTAACTGAAGGTCTTTTCATCCCAACATTTTGCACCATCTGTAGACTGCACATCAAGGCAATGATCATACATCGAACATGAAAGAGAGGTCTGACTATGCAGGTGCACCATGCAGTGCCCACTGGAGGGCACTGTGAGCGGCACTGAGGCTGGGTGGCCAGGGAGGTTGAAAGACACCTTGGCCAGCTCACCAGATGGGCTCAGTGAAGCATGTCAGATGGCTGTGACAGCTACCTGCCCTTCCTTAAGGACTGTCACCATGTATAAACAAACCATTACTCTAATTTGTGAGTGCACTGCCTTATATGTGTGCACAAAATGTGTATGTGTGTGTGTACAAAATATGTACCCCCTGAATGAACATAATTGGAGAGTTGCATCTAGCCTGCCATAAAATACATGAAGTATTTGCATTAATCTCTTAAACCCCAGCCATGCTGTGCAACCAAACTTGTTCATATCTAAATCATTTTATCATTTAAAAAATGCCAGGCTGAATTTTGGGGAAATGGTTAAAATGATGCACAGAACAGGTAGGCTATAATATTTAAATCTGATGGAATAGTACAGCCATAAAAACTGTATTTTTCTGATTGTAACCACAATACAGCTTTAATGGAGAGTCTGAACAAGCTGAAACAGAACACACAGTATATGTGATACTGACAGACAGTGTGGTGTAAGCCAAATTGTCTTTATATCTAAGGGCAAAACGGTATGTTAGGAGGTTAAAATGTCATAATTATGTGTTAGAAACTTAAACTGTTACGAATAGGAACACGAATGAAGAGGAACATCTCCACAGTCTGGATATAGATAAGATGGAGAGCCCTGAAGGCCTCAGCCTGTTCATTAATTTGCAGCAGAGCATCGTCGTCGGATGCTGCGCCTCCGCTCATCGCTGCCTCCACTGCGCAGCCGCAGTTTCTCCAGGACGCAGAGAGCCGAAGAGGGAGACAGAAAAATGGCCATCGATAATTTAATTTTCGCACAGTGCATCCTATATTTTTTAGCCTTCGTATTCGGTTTCATCGCCGTGGTGCCTCTGTCGGAAAACACGGAGGACTTCGGGGGGAAATGCCTGCTCTTCACGCGGGGTATGTGGCAAAATGAGAACATCACTGTGTCGAAGCAGCGCTTCATCGTTGAAGAGTGGGGACCCGAGTCCTCCTGCAGCTTCATCACTTTTGTCGGGATAGCGTCCCTCATCCTGTCCGCAGTGCAGGCATGGAGGCTGCTCTTCTTTCTGTGCAAAGGACACGACGAGTGAGTGACATTTCACTTGTGCTCGTTCAACACTATTCAGTGCCGGCATCTAAAGCTCAGTAGGACAGCCTCAGGTTTAATGAAAATGTATTTTTCTGTCCATCTCCTACGCCCTTAAATGCGCGCTATTCAGTCAGAATCATATATGATATGAGCTATGATATAATGGTAACAGTCATAGAATGAGCCTATAAAAACGATTAGTCACTGTCGTCCTCCATTATAAAGATGGAGGAATACACTAGTGTGGCCCTTGAAAATCCAAGTCATACTGTGGCTCACATACAGTATTTCCATGTGTGACTAAAAGACACCATTCACCACAGAGAACTAAATTGTGCTGCATGGCTGACATTAACATTAAGCAGGGAGGGCTCAGTTTTTATCCTCTTCAGTTTCTCTTCTACCTGCCCTGCAGCTCCATCTTCAATGCCTTCCTCAACCTGCTGATCAGCTCCCTGGTGGTGTTCACAGTCTTCCTGTCCAGCACCATCGTCAGTGTGGGTTTCAACATGTGGTGCGACTCCATCACAGAGAGTGGGACCATGCCCAGCAGGTGAGAGATCGACACACAAACCCAACTTTCCAGACTATTTCATTACACACCGCAGTGGGCCCCCTAAACCCAAGCTTGTGTGTTTTATGTTTTAGCTGTGAGGACCTGCAGGACACTGATCTAGAGCTCGGCCTAGACAACTCTGCTTTCTACGACCAGTTTGCTATAGCTCAGGTGAGTCTGTTTTATTGTTAATATTATCCAGACAGTTAAACAAAATCCGGAATCTCAATCATGTTTAAAAATAATGTCCCTTCTGGCAGTTTGGCCTGTGGGCCGCCTGGCTGACCTGGCTTGGGATCGCAGTGATGGCCTTCTTGAAGGTCTACCACAACTACAGACAAGAGGACCTGCTGGACAGCCTGATCCACGAGAAGGACCTGCTTCTTGGCCGCTCTTCGCGCCGCGGCTCTGACCTCAAGACTGGCCTGATCTAGAAACCGGGGGACGCACAAACACACTCACTCACACTTAACCGTACAATCCTCTCGCCTGCCATGAGAAACACCAATGTTTGCCTATGTAGACAATCAAATTGGCTTTTGCTCCCATTAACCATGGATTGAATCAAATGGAAGCTTTTAGCTTTGTTTTTTCAAAGGTAACTGATTTTCCCCTCAAACAATCACCCAATGGTTGTTAATCCGTGAAGAGTCCGGCTTTATCGAGTTTATTCATCCACTGTGTGCATTCCTCTCCACACACACAACCATAGCTCAGCTCTGATAATATTAAAACCATTTAATGCAAATGTACACCCAGTTTTTCTCATGAATTTCAATTTAGCAACACTGTATTAATGACTTGGACAGATTGACTGATAGATCATGTTGTCTTTGTGAAACTTCTGCATGGACCTAATGCATGACAAATTAATAGGGTGGTGGTTTTTAGATGTAAAGGGATGTTCTTTTGTTTTATACACCAATAAATGTGTTCCTAAAGTAGGCTTCTGGTAGGATGCTCCTCTGCACACTACTTGATGAAGTGAAAATTCTTTGCATGCTGCAGCAAAGCCAAATAATGTGTGCTTTTGCAGTGTATTCACACTTTTATCAGCAGTTACAAAAGGTGTTTTATAAACATGACAAATTGTAGTTCAGAACATTCATCAATCGGGCAGCCAGTCAGTCCAAAAATGCTTTTAGCAATCTGTGTGAGATGAAAAACAAATCCTATTTTGTGCCATATAGTAACTCAGGCTTTTCCTTCACTTTATAGGCTACAACCAATATACTGTATTACTGTGAATAGACGCACAAATGTACCTGCATGCATCTCTCTCCCTGTTACATACACACCACACACTCACTTGCTGTCAGAGAAAAGAGGAAGAAAGAAAATCATCTGCTTGACTTTGATAGGCAATGACAGTTTTATTCAAAACAACTGAAATCATAAAACGGTAGGAACTAAGAAAACCCTCCATAAAGGCACTTCTTTCAAAGTGACCATAAATGTTTGGACAGCCGTGAAATGCAGCTTCTAAGCTAAATGTGCATATAAAGGACATGAGTTCACTGGGTGTTGTTTTATTGCTAATGACAATTTAGTTTGACAGTACAGAGTGGAGAGTATTTCTTCCTTCTATTCAGGCGTTATTAGCCTTATATTGCTTTGACATTCAAATGTGAAACCTCAAGAAATCCTTTCCTTTTGAGTTCCCTGAAACCTGTTATATAAAGAACAATGTTTTACTGGAAACTATGTGATGTGTGTTATTGCTCATAATGAGAGGTCTGTGGGATGTGCATCACTGTGCCCTTTGATTCCTATAATCCATTTTTGTGGTGGTTTGGCTGTTTGAATTATATTTCCTTCATTTGATAAAGGGACTCATATAATGACATACAGTATCTGATTCTGTTACATTTCTGTGTTTGGCATCATATTAGTAGTAATGAACTCGATATAAGGAGTTGTTTTTTGATGTATTGCAAATATTTGCTGAGCCCACACCCATTC